CACACACACACACACACACACACACACACACACACGCACGCAGTGCTGCATACAAAGACATGGTGGGTGAAGAAAGAAAGCCAACATAAGGACTACAAGTATGAAATTGACAGCACACCCGCACGTCACTTTCACAAAGAGCACCGTCTGATGGAGCGAGTCCGCAATGTGAAGTCACAGAAAACTTTCCAAATCTCCAAGCAGCATGTGACGTTCAAACAAGCCTGTTGTTTAATGAACTGAAATCGCATCAAGCTCCTCACACTTTTTCAAATCCAGCAAATAAAAAAACTCACCCCCCACCCCCAAAGAACCCCTCCCAAAAACCAGGATACTAATTATCACGATGTGACAATAATGCCGATACCGATACTGACCCCAATGCAAGTGGACTGTAACCTTGGCCCAGGCACCACTGATTACCAATAGTGATCAAAGCCATTCCTTATTTTTGGTGTATGCAACTATTAAAAAAAACGATCACCTCTTGCCTTGCACTTAAAAAAAAAAAAATCATGCTTACAAACCAAGTAGAGTAATAAGTAACAAATGGCGATCAAAATATCCCCTCTTGTCTTCCACTTTGATGCATGCCGCTAATCACAAAGTCAAGTAACAACGCAATATTTTCCTAAAGATTGACAGAAACTAACCATTACCACAACCAAACTTTGCCAGCACCGCTAAGGATTGCCAGTCCACAAAAAGCATCCTCTCCTCTTACCATCCCACTCTCTCCAGGAATTCTTACGGCTGGCCGGACTGAAAGAGAAAGAGGAGCCCAGTCCCGAGATGTCCAAGTTCTGGATCAGAAGACTGAGCCGGTTCATGATCCGGTACGACGCCTCGCCGCCCTCCCGTAAGAACTCGTGCAGAGACATTTGGAGCTGACTGATGTTTTCAAACTCACATACAAATTTCCAGAGCGGGCATGAAAAGGATCCCGTTCGGTTCACTTCTGGGATTATATCGGATCAGATTGACGTGTATGCATCCCGCAATGGCGAGACCTCCACGGTGCTCGTCTCACAAGTCCAGATCCTGCGGCAGATCCACATCGGGGACTTCATGTAATGCTGGCAAGTCTAAACAGCTGAGTCACCGCACCGAACGCCTGCATACGGTCACGCTATAGGCAAGAATAGACCCACACTCACTCCGGCGGAGTCGCACAACTCCTTGCAAGTGTACCTACTGACAGTCGCGTAGATTTCCCTGCTGGGAGAAGCCGGCAGCCGGTGTAGCACAAATCCCCTTCTGTTGCTCGAGCTAATTATATTCTTCCACCCCTCTACTAATCTGTCTCACCAGGTACCTCCAACTTATTTCCACTACTCAACAACCAAGACCAGAAAAAAAAAAAGACCTTGAAAGTTTAAAAACACGGACATTTGCTGCGTTTGTGCTGTTGTGTGAACCAATATTTGTCCAGGAAGGAGGGAACATGCAAAATTTGGACATTGTTTGTTGTGTGTGAATGTGCCGGTGTTGTGTGCGGCTTGTGCTAAAACTACACACCGCCGGGGGTTATGACATGAAGTCTCAAAGGTT